ACGTGGCAGTTGGCAGAGCGGTCCTCCGAGCGGTTGTTCCGTGACTCCTACCCTTCTCCAGAGGTAAGCTTGTGATTCACCTAATGTGGAATGGACGTAAACAAGCAATCGAAGAAGAAAAAACGGTTACTTACCTTCTCGTAACTGTTGTTCTTCGAGATGTGGTGTTCACATCCATTCCACCACCCATCCTCCTACCCCTCTGTTGGAGTTGCTGGCAAGAAGGAACTGCAGGGGGTTGGGCCGCCGGGGGTATATATGCATGGTGGAGTGGCACCATTTGGGGGGTCCTGCCAGCCCGACGGGAGCCGCTAAGGGAAAAAGTTTCCGATGCTCATGCACACAGCGTGCGCACGCCTAATGTGGAATGGACATGAACAACAGTTACGAGAAATGTTTCAGAGGAACAGCCGTGTTAGTCTGTATTTGCAAAAAGAAAAGGAGTACTTGTGGCACCTTAGAGACTAACCAATTTATTTGAGCATGAGCTTTCGTGAGCCAGTGAGCTGTAGCTCACAAAAGCTCATGCTCAAATAAATTGGTTAGTCTCTAAGGTGCCACAAGTACTCCTTTTCTAGTTACGAGAAAGTAAGTAACCTTTTTTTTGCAAAGTAAAGTACAGTCAGGTTGTACTTTCAATTTTTCCTTCAGCAAAGTTTCTTCCCCAACTAATTTAAGCCCTCTGAAGTAAATGGCAGTCTTTCCAAGGTTTTCCAGTGGGTTTTGAGTCAGAATTTTATTGAAATAAGGCTCTTACAAGCAGCTTGATCTTTCTTCGTACACAGTATTTACATGTGTAATATTGTTGGATCATATTAAAGAAGTTCTGTATTAAAATCACAAATGAGTTTGATTCCCCATAGTTTAAATTCCAGGGTATTACTAATTAAGAGGTCTCTTGGTTTTTGGTACTGTTTCTCTCCCTCTATGTGTGAAACTTGCAAGCTGCTAATTGTGTTAGTACATTCTAAGACAGAGTCTGTTCTCAAAGCAATTCACAGAGAGAGAGACTCAAAGCAATACTCTAACAACAGAAACAGCACCCAGAAACTCCCCGCCCTTTTGTTGTATTAACAATTGTGGTTAAAATAGAGATAGAGAATGTATGTGGATGGATGCTTGGTGTGGATAATAACTGAATGATCAGGGAGGTGCCAGCCTAAGAATCCAGTGTCCATCGGCTGAAGAAGGCGTCAAGTGGAAATAACCAGAGGACCCCCGAAGGGCAGACTGGAATCCACCCAACAGCCTCAAGAATGGGAGAACCAAAGAACAAGATGACATCTAGCAGCACAGAGCTGTCAGGAATGTGCCATCTGCTGATTGATTCAGCAACAGCATGATGAAGCAATTCCCATAGACTGGCATAGGAAGAAATTCCTATAAAAATAGACTCTAAAAAGTGAGAACTTTGGGGTCTGATTCTGCAAACCAACTTCCAGGAGCATCAGATGAGCATCTGACAAGGCCCTGCTCCCTCCTCATGTCCAGGCCACCCGACCAGTGGCTTGGCATGAACAACTCTAAGGCTGGTAACTATGATAACAACCTTGCAGAACCTGTGTGTGTGTGTGTATGAATGAATGTGTGAATAAATATGAGATTGAATAGAATGTTATGGCTGTAACTAACTGCTTACTATGATTCTGTATTCACAATAAATGTGGTATTTTGTCTTTTTCCCTTTAATAAGATCCTGCTGGTTTTTAATTTATTGGTATAACAATATACCTCTGGAATAGTCTTACTATGCAAAATCCTATTAAAGTATCCGCCAATGGGACTTGATGCAGTAAAAAAATGTAGTGACCCTAGCATTCTAACTGTTCACTCAAGCCATTATTCTCTTGTACCCAAGACAATAGCAGCTTTATTATTTAGAGTCTTAGGTGTCTTTGGTTCCAGTTGTTATAATGTCGGGCTCTAAATCAGTGGTGTAAGGGATTCTATCCATTTCAGTAGGATTTATAATTTATTTTTAGAAGGATTAATTGTCAGCATCAACATCAGTATATGTGCGCTTGTGGACTTGAGCTTCAAGTCCCTCTTAACAGATTTCCCAGTATGGCTGCTCTGTTTGCACTTGGGTCAGTATGCAGCAGGAAGTTTGCTCGTTGGTTTATGCTACTGAGATTGTATTGTGCCTGCAGCTGTTATCTTTGCATTGGCTGCCTATAGCAATGTGACTGACTGACGCTACTGGGGTTCTTTTAGATTTTAATCGTGTGACCCTGGTTGCATTCAAGTCTTGACCAGATGAACATCTGCATTTGCGCTACCTGCAGTTTAAGGATCCCACCTTTGCATGTGATGTTGTGCTTTTCTTGTGATGGAAAGGTTCTTATAGAATGGCAAATGTTAGTCCTACATTTATTACTTTCCTTACCAATCCCTGTATTTCCCTTTTAAAAATTACTCGGTGTATTCTTTTTAGGGCCTTAAGCATATTGGCAAGGAGTGTGGTATGACGTAGTTGCTGAATATGCCATAGAGTAAATATGGCTGTCCATTATTATAGAATGGTCTCTGATATTAGAATGAAGGGATGTTTGTACAGTTACTGATCCACAATCCTACAATTATTTCTCGATCATACAAATACCTATTCTCAGTCTGAGGGGAATTAGCCAGTCAGCATAGTGTTACATCTACAATATGCAATCCTTGTGTTCTCATTGCCATAGCTCTCAACATTTTACAGCTTTAGCCAACCACCTTGGCTGCTTCCTTTTCCGATCCCCTCCATTCTTTTATCCTACACACTGCTACTCTAGTCATATAGCCCTGACCCACTGCCTATTGCTTTAGAGAAAGGCTTGAGACTCTTGCACAATGAATAATTGAATAAAAATATTAAATGAGGTTTGATAGCTTCCTTTCCTTCAGCTTGAGAAACAGCGGTGCTAACAGTAGAGTGGAAAGTCTCCTTCTGGATGTTGCAAAATGGGAGAGAAGGAATGAAGGTGATCATTTAAAATAATATAAAAACAGCACATTCATTGGAAGGAGCAAAACCTTGTTGAGCCACGGGAGAGTTAGGGCTAGAAATTTCATTTAACTAGAAAATGTACATGGGAAGTTTTTTGTGTTTATCTGATTGAATATGAAATTATTAGGATATAAAACTGTGATCTAGTTTCTAATAAATACCATGCATATTAAATTTAGAAGTTAATTGCCAGTTGTGATGCAATCTAGACACAGCTATATTAAAAGTAGTCATTTTTTGGTCACAGTGTTACATTGACTTCTACGTAGAACATATTGAGTTCAGTGGGGAGTTATGATTTTAAAATTCACACAGTATAGCACAATGAGTCTTGGAAGAGATACTTTGATACCTGAGGCTTTTGGGGTGGAGGTTTATGGGGTGGTCTTTAAACAAAAATATGTTTTGGAAATCATTATTTTGTCTATAGAGGTTGGTAGGTTTTAAAAGTTTAGGATCTAAAGATGAGAAAAACCCATGAAATTATTAACTGTAACATATAATGTTAATGCTCATTAGAGCATTAACATTTTGTACTAAATTTCAGCGCTCTTCATCATGAAATGAATTCAGAAACCAGGATTCTAAGGCAGACAGCCCTGCAAAACTATAGTGAAACCACTAGGTGTAACTGATGAAAATAGTGTATACTTGTACAAAAGTGCTTAAAGTTTCCAGACTCTTTCTAATAATTCAAAGCACAGCAAGTTCCAGGGATACATCTTGTATGAAACATTTATGTGTTGCAAAATTTTTTAACCCATTTTCCTTTGATGAGACTAGAGCCTCAATTGCTGATCACTGATGCATATTGCATTTGCACATAAATAAATCCTGGTTTCAAAGGGTTTTAAATCTTGATCTGTTTTTGATAAATAGAAGTGTAGCATTTTATCTGATTTCCATTCAATAACAAAAATATGCATGCAGAAAAGAACATGTAACCATGATTTCCTGAGTGATTATAAATCCAAGAAAACATTCTAAATATTGCCAGCAGATCGAGGGACGTGATCGTTCTCCTCTATTTGACATTAGTGAGGCCTCATCTGGAGTACTGTGTCCAGTTTTGGGCCCCACACTACAAGAAGGATGTGGAAAAATTGGAAAGAGTCCAGCGGAGGGCAACAAAAATGATTAGGGGACTGGAACACATGACTTATGAGGAGAGGCTGAGGGAACTGGGAATGTTTAGTCTTCAGAAGAGAAGAATGAGGGGGGATTTGATAGCTGCTTTCAACTACCTGAAAGGGAGTTCCAAAGAGGATGGCTCTAGACTGTTCTCAGTGGTAGCAGATGACAGAACAAGGAGTAACATTCTCAAGTTGCAGTGGGGCAGATTTAGGTTGGATATTAGGAAAAACTTTTTCACTAGGAGGGTGGTGAAACACTGGAATGTGTTACCTAGGGAGGTGGTGGAATCTCCTTCCCTAGAAGGTTTTAAGGTCAGGCTTGACAAAGCCCTGGCTGGGATGATTTAGTCGGGGATTAGTCCTGCTTTGAGCAGGGGGTTGGACTGGATGACCTCCTGAGGTCCCTTCCAACCCTGATATTCTATGATTCTGAAATGAAGACGCATGTCTCCTTAGGAACTGGAAGGTAGTCCCCTACTTTAGCACCAACTTGTGCTTTTCATTTCACTAGTATAAATCTGGAGTAGAAAAGACCAGAACTCAGTCATTTGTTCATGGCAAGCAAATATTAGCTTTAACATGGAATTCCATAGTCTGACACTTTATTCATTTTCTTAGGGGTTTTGGTGAAGTAAAAAGTATAGCATAGTATTTTTTAATCCACAAGAATTAAAAACAGATTAAACAATGAAATATTTTAGAACTTGTACAGGCCTAAAACACAGACATTATTGGCATATATTAGGAATTTCAGACACTGCTAATATATTTTTTAAAAAATCAGTACATGTGTGATTATTTGAAATATATATATTATGATGAAAATGGGAGAAAATAGTATTGATAGAGATTTACATTTGGATTCTTTTTAATATCCAGTACCAAACCTTATAAAAGGGCTAATGAAAAAGAAAAAAATCATGTATTCTAATGAACTGCTTATGTAATACCATCAATTGGTGTGAAATTTTTGTCTTGTATATTTCATATTTATTGTATGTCTGTAAAAACAAATTAAAAATTGTCTTGTTTTCTTAACAGAAATAAGCATTTGGTTACAATTTGCCTTTAAAGCCAGAGTTCCCAAACTGTCAATGTCCATGATCATGGACATCAGGCTAGTCATATGATGCTAGCTCTGCTTTTTTTCCCTCCCAAGATGTCAAATCGCATTACAAGTATCCACATTAAAAATTTTATAATACTGATTTTCCATATAAACAATTGCTGTGGGTAGCACAGGTTGTTTGATCATTACAAGAAAGGAGGTAGTTTTCCCACTGATAAATGGGAGGGGGAAGGTAAAGTGGTCTGTGAGATGTAACTTTCAAGGTGTGTTCTAAGTCTTGAATAAGCTTAATAAGCTCTCCTTAAATGTGTTTCTACAAACTGAATCTCTGGATGAAAGTTACATTGCTGAATTAGACCCTTCCATGGCAGTTGTTCCTTAGACCAGGCCTGAATTTGACACATCTTGGTTAAAGTTTTATAATAAGGAAAATTGGCACCCATCTTAATTATCTATGTACCATAGTCTGGGTTCCAATATAAATGATTTCTCAAGCTTAATAACACCTTTATCTCTAGAATTCAATATGACCTTTCAAACCGCAATTGACAGTATTTACCAGCAGTAAATTAATAAGATTCCAGAGTCCATTATGAGTTTTAATGGGTCTTCTTTGGAAGAATATCATAGTGAAAAGTTGCGGGGCAAACTATACATGTCCACTTAATTACTTTTTTTTAACAAACAAAGTGAATCAGAATGTCTTGATTTGCTCTGAGTCAATCAGGATCCCATATGCTTGTAATTGGGTCTCAAACTGGACTGATAAATCAGGTAGCAGGTAAATTGTTACTTTCTCAAAATTTTAGCCAGTTTTCTGTTTATATCATGAGATGGAAGTGCCCCTTATGCTTTCTTCAATATCATGGTTGGTCAGCAGGGGGAGTTACTGTAGTACATATCCACTATTTGTTCCAGTTTTCTGAAAGTCACCTACACAAGAAATTAGACAAGGTGGGTGAGGTAATCTTTTATTGGACCAACTACTATAGTGCATACTACATAAATGACATTAGCAGTACAAAGATCATGACTCATCTGTTTCTGACCCTTTGTTTTGAAATTAATCAGCACTACATGCTGAGCTTCCTCCACGGAGTTGAGCTTTCATAGATTTTAATTATTTCTTAAATCTTTTGTGGATTGTAGGCTTTTACCTAAACATACTAGAAAAATTAATCATTAAAACTGTTTGCTTTTTCTAAACTTACTGAAATACTCAGGGCTGAATTCAGGCTTCTGATATTACCTGTACCTGCACTCTACTGTACCTGAAGTCAATTTTGTTGCAGATTTTGGCATTAAGATTAAACCGGCGTGCCGGAACGGGAGTCCAACAGGCCATGGCTCTCCCACTTTTTGCCACAGGCCCAGCCCCCTGCTCCTCCTCTTCCCCCAAGGCCTCGTGCCCCCCCTCCACCCCCGCAGCAAGGCCAGAAGCTGGAGCCCAGGCCAGGTAACAGTGGCTTGGGGAGCTGCAGACCCTTCATCTGCCCAGGGTGGGGTGGAAGGGCTGAGAGCAGCCCCCGTCTCGTGTTCCCACTCCCTGGGTCTCCCACCCAGGGCAGATGGAGGATGACCACAGGTGACCAGGCGGCTCTTTGGCCCCCGAGCCTCACCCCCAGACTGGAATCTGGAGCTGGCTTGGGGTAAGAGCCTTGCAGGCAGCTGTGAGGAGCTGCAGACCCTCCACCTGCCCTGGGTGGGTCCTCGGGCGCCAGGGACACAGGCCAGGAGCTGCTTGTGATAGGTTCAATCACAGAGACCCCCCTCCCCCCTTGGGACTGTCACCTGATGTGCTGAAACTACCTCTGAGCCCATTTTCTTTGCCAGCTTGGGACTCCAGAACCCTGTCTTGTTGAGCCAGACACACAAGCCTGCTGCAACACAAACCCAGGGTCTGAACCATGCCCCCAAAGTTGCAGACCTAACTGAAAACAGCTCAGCAAGTACTCCTGTCTCCAGCACCCAGCTCCCAATGGGATCCAAAACCCAAGTGAATCTGTTTTACCTGTATAAAGCGTATAAACTCATAAATTGTCTGCCCCCTATGATACTGATAAAGAGATATACACAGCTGTTTGCTCCCCCAGCTATTAATCACTTACTCTGGGTTAATTAATAAAAGTGATTTTATTAAGGATAAAAAATAGGATTTAAGTGGCTTCAAGTAATAACAGACAGAACAAAGTAAGCTACCAAGCAAAATAAAACAAAACATACAAGTCTAAGCCTAATACATTAAGAAACTGATTACAGGTAAATCTCACCCTCAGAGATGTTCCAAATAAGCTTCTTTCACAGACTATACTCCTTCCTAGTCTGGGTCCAATCCTTTCCCTGGTACAGTTCTTGTTAGTTCCAGTTCAGGTGGTAAGTAGGGGATTTCTCATGACTGGCAGCCTCCTTTGTTCTGCTCCACCCCCTTTATAGCTCTGGCACAAGGCAGGAATCTTTTGTCTCTCTGGGTCCCCACTCCTCCTCCTAAATGGAAAAGCACCAGGTTTAAGATGGATTCCAGTTCAGGTGACATGATCACATGTCACTGTAAGAGCTTCATTACCTAGTAGCTGGAAGAAATGTACCGAGAAAAGCTTGTAGGTAAACAAACCCATTCACAGTTCATTGATTCTGAAGCACCCTTAATGGTTTCCACTTAACATGTTTACATTATTCAGAGGGGTAGCCCTGTTAGTCTGTATCAGCAAAAACAATGAGGAGTCCTTGTGGCACCGTAAAGACTAACACATTTATTTGGGCATAAGCTTTTGTGGGCTAGAACCCACTTCATCGGATGCATCCAATGAAGTGGGTTCTAGCCCATGAACGCTTATGCCCAAATAAATATGTTAGTCTCTACGGTGCCACAAGGACTCCTTGTTGTTTTTATGTTTACATTAGTAACACGTTTATCTTATTCTCCTAACTCCAGACATAGAAATAATACATGCAAACAGGATGAACACGCTCGGTAGATCATAAGCTTTGTAATGATACCTTACAAGAGACCTTTCGCATGAAGTGTATTCCAGTTACATCATATTCACACCTATAAACATATTTCCATAAAATATATGGAGTGCAACGTCACACTGCTCTTGGAGGGGCCCCCACCCGAGGCAGGTGGAGGGGTCCGAGCTCCCCAGCTGAGCTCGGGCTTCCAGCTTGACCAGGGGGCAGGGCCTCAGGCAGAAGGGGGGGGCAAGGGTTGGGCCACAGTGGGGGCAGGGCCTCATGGTTCCCTCACTTTGAGGAAGAATCCATCGCCCCTGGATTAAACTATACTTGCTATGCCATAAATGCGTAAGTATGTATTGCCAAAATTCAACATAGATTGCACAGATAGCAATGCCAATAGTAAGGGCCTGACATCTTCCATTGTAAGACCCTATTGTCAGTTGTTTGTCTCTCTGCCAAACTTAAATGGTTCAGGCTGAAATTTTCCAAGCCAGGTGTTTGTTCCTGGAGCCTTAGGGTGAAAAGGTGTGTATTTTCACACTTCGTCTTGAAGGGTAAATTAGCACTGCAGGAGTTTTGCTTTCCCCAAGACCTTGCTGTGTCCAAGACACCCAACTCACCATTGCTCACCCACTGCAAATTCGTGGCCCTACCCAACATATTCAACACAATCCAGATCAGCCCTCAAACCCCAGTCAAGAACTGTCTTCAGCTGTTGAGGCATATGGCAGCTTGTACTTTCTTATAGACCAAGCAAGACTGCAAATACATTACCTTCTAGAGTGGCTCAGGACTGTTCTGTTCACCTAACAGACGCAGTCTAACTACTATTTTCCATGCCCACCTTCATAAAGGAATCTCTCAGGTGGCGGAAATACTCTCACAAGGTTTGTGCAAGAGTCTCTTTTGCCTGCCTTCTCCCAATGTCATAACAACCGCTGCATTCCTGTAGGAGTGGGGAGCGCAGCTAGACACCCACATAGCCCAGGGCAGGTGGATGCCTCAAGAAACCATTCTGTACATCAACCTCCTGGAACTCAGGGCAGTCAGATACACCTGTCTCTCGTTTCTAACACTAATTGGTAGCAAATACATAAAGGTTCTGATGGACATGTCATGCTTGTTCTAGATCAACCAGCAAGGAGGGGCAAGATTTCCCTCCCTCTGCACTGAAGCTGTCAAGCTTTGGAATTGGTGCACACTTGATCAAATTGTCATTACAGCTGTGTACCTTCCAGGAGTTCAGAATGTGTGGCCGTGGACATTCAGCAGGCACGTCTTTCAAGACCACAAGCGGGAGATAGATTCCATCATATTTTACCACATATTCTAGCAGTGGGGCACCCCTCGAATGGACCTGTTTGTCACGGCGATAAACAAGAAATGCACCCCGTTCTGCTCCAGAGGCGGTCAGGGTCTCACTGATCCGTGGAAGATGCCTCTCACTTTCAGTGACTGTCAGATACACTGTGTGTTTTTCCCCAGACTCCTCTAATACCCCAAGTTCTACTCAAAATATAAAAGGACAAAGCCAGGGTTGTTCTTATAGTTCTGACCTGGCCTGGACAAACCTGGTTTCCTCACGTGGCCACTTACTCACCAGTCGCTCTTCAGACTGCTCCTCATCTCTCTTCGGAAGGTGGGAAGATCCTTCACCCCAATCTCAGAGTTCTTCCCCTCAAAGCATGGCTGGTTGATGGTTCACGGGATTAGAAATGACCTGTTCAGAGGAAGTAAAAAGAGTGCCATCACAACCATCTAGACTCTACAGTTACTTACAAAATGGACAAGATTTGCCTGCTGATGTGACCTCAAACACATTCCACCAACCTCATTGCTATCAGATATGCTGGGCTGCATTTTATAACTAAAAATAATTCTGGGCCGTCGCTGAGCTCCATTAGAATCCATCTGGCAGTTATCACAGCTTTCCATGCTCCAGTAAAAGGTTATTTCATATTCAACCATCCAATGACAATGAGGTTCCTCAGGCAGCTCAGAAATCTTTCTACCACTCAAATGTCCTACCCTCGTTTTGGAACCTCACTCTGGTTCTTAAATACCTTAGCCATCGGTGCAAATAGAGATCCTGATCTGCTCACTCCTCCCTTTACTGATGAACACAGCATTTCTGGTAGCCATCACGTTGGCTCTAGTAGTTGGGGAAATAGGGGCCTTTATGGCATATCCCCCCTTCACAATGTTTTTCTCAAATGTTTTTCAAAAACAAGGTCATATTACAACCACACCCCAAGTTTTTACCAAAGATATTTTCCACTATTTCCAGTGTCCTCTTGTGAAATCACTTGTAGTTGTCGGCACCCTAGTGTTTACCCTAGTAAACATGTATGTTTAAAGAGACAAGGTGGGTGAGGTAACAGCTTTTATTGAGCCAACTTATGTTGGTGAAAGAGACAGACTTTCAAGCTACATGTTTAGACACATTTTAAAAGTTTATCTCCAGCCTGTTGACTCTTACAAGAGGTGTATAAAAACTAGCAACTGGTTACCTAACCCTGCGTCTCTTTCTCTGAGGCATCTTCTGTCTCCCTGTTGGAGTGAGGAGGGTTCTCTCATCTTTTCACTCATCCTACACCTCTGTGAACCACATTTCATCCCTGACACTACTTCATTTGCAAGAGCCAAATGGCCTTTGTTCATAGGTGAAGTTTTCTCAGAACTTTAAAACCTTTAAAAAATATATATAGGGGTTCTGGAAGAGAGAATATGTATAGAAAACATTCTTGTCAATTTTTAGCTATATTTATAACCCAATAATATCACATTATATTGATTAAAAAACTTGGCAACTCTTAACATTTCTAAAATAACTGCTTTATTGCCTTGGACTAAACTGATTTTTTTTCTTATTAGAAGCTTCCACTTAAAGTAAAAATCTAGAGCTCTGTTTAAAATTAATTTAGAATTTCCTTTTTGTAATTTTAGCTAGTACATTACAATTTTGCTGTGACATGAAGATGGTTATACCATAAAAATTAGTTGATTACTTAAATTAGCTATACTTTGTGGGAAATGTGCTGCATCATTTGCTGGGATTATTTGGCTTAATTACTAGAATTATGCTGTTAACGGTGATGAGTAAACTCCATTATTAAACTGTGCAACTGTAATGTGTTTGTTTACACAATGCAAGGGGAGTATTATTTACTTCATAATATGCTAAAATGTACTCTTCCTCCCTGTAACATTCAGCTTTGCCCACCCAGAAGGCCCTCCAGAACTCAGGTACAAGTCTACTAGTCAAGTTCTTTTGTTTAATGTATCTTTCAAACAAAGACCTTCACTTTGATCTGCTGGAGCTGTGTGTGGAGCTAGCTTGTGTGACTGTGATGAGGATTCAAGTGTGTAAGAGAGAGACTCACACAATGTAGGGCCTGATCTCTTACTCACTTGAGTAAAAGCTGCAGGATCAACTCCATGATATGGGACTGTGGTGTCAGCTGCTGTTGGGTGTGGACTGATCTGGAAGGGAGGAGGAGGAAGTGATTTATCAAGGGAAATCAGCAAATGGATCCTCTTCTGGTACACCCTAGCCTCTCAACAGGCTCTCCTGGCCTCATGTACACTTCCCTACCCTCAATTTAACACATCCAAAAGGAAAGTACGGTAATGCATCCATACCCCTCTTTCTCCATCTACAACATTGGGGCGGGGGGGGGGAACCCTCAGGGCTTTTGCCCTGTGGTGGGGCTAGGGGCTTCTGCCAGAGATGACTGGTGCCTGTTGAGAGTGGGGAGACACAATTTGAAGATTTGCCCCCGCCCCAACAGCTTGAGGCATGTCCCCCCCTTACCCTCAGCAGTCCCTCCTTGCAGCTCCCAGCTGTTTGCTGCTGCCTCTCCTGCAGCTCCCAGCTTGCTGGCTAAAGCAGCTGCCACGCAGGGACGGGGCCCGGTGGTACCGAGCGGAGCCAGCAAACCCGGACAAAAATCGGGGGTGGGGGCCACTTCTCGTGCCCCTCCACATGTCTTCTGTGGCTTCTTCCCAGCGGTGAGGTAGCTCTCGGGCCTTCAGCCCCACGGGGCACACCTGCCAGGGCTCGGGGCTTTAGCAGGAGCAGGGCTGAAGCCCCGAGCCCCAGCAGGCGCTTCCCACAGGGCTGAAGCCCCAAGACCCCCCTCCCTGAAGGGCAGAAGCCCCTAGACCACCACCCTGCCACAGGGCTCAAGTCCTGAGTTCCGGCAGGCATCTCCCACAGAGCTGAAGCCCTTAGATCCCCCTCCTGGCAGGGCTGAAGCCCTGAGCGCGGGCAAGAGCGCCCCAGCTCTCAAACTTCTGAAGATTGTCCTATGCGGCTGGCGGGGTCAGTACGTTAGGCCACCCCGGCCTATGGGGAACATGCAAATACGTCATTCCAAGAAATGAGAAATTCCTGCCCTCTGCAGGAACCAGCCTCTTAGTCAGACTTAGATTGCTGCTATTAGTAGGGGACACAAAGGAAATGATGCATAACCATTAAGATCCATTCATTCATTTGTCAGTGCTGGAAAGTGTGAAATGAAATGTCTCCAGCTACAGAAAGGGTCTGAATGGCCAAGCTTAAAGCAATTGCTAGAGAGAGAGTGGAAAGAGACACTGTCCACTACAGGCACCTTTTCTAAGGGAAAGGGTCTGAGAGGAACACTTACTTCGTTTGGAATAGAATGGCTGGGAAAATATGATGATGTGATGGAGGTTGGACACACACCAAAGATAGGATAAGGTGGATGAATCCTTCCGGTAGCTTGCCCAAGCTGCTGTCATCCTGTCTAGAGTGAGGGAGGAATAGCTTTTCAAAAACGTGAAGAGAGATATAAAGCCAGTTTTCAGAAGCCAAAGCATAACAGAGAACCTGAGCTGTTTGGGGAGGAGGCAGCCCAGGCTCAAGATGGATCCAGTGTTGCTGCCTGTCATGATATTTGGTGATTGTCTTAAAGCCCCAGCTCCTGGGCTGAGATGGTTCTGAGAGAATCTTCACTTCCGTTTTAAAAAAAAAAAATCTAATCCTTATGGTTGCAGAGCAAAATGTGGAAATGTGAATCTTAAAGGCTCAAATGCCAGAAGGCAAATAAAAAGAACCTCAGTCATTGTTTTTAAAAAAATGATTTTTACACCTACATCAAGATTGGAGGGGGGGAGGGGCTGGCTCATTATTTTGAACGTTTTGGGTTAGTGATCCTGAGATTCCTTCTGCATGAAGCAGTGTCAGCAGTGGCTGTCTCTCTGCCAGGGTAACTCCTAGAGATGGTAACTTGATGCCTTCAATATTTCCTTCTCGTATCTTGCAGGTGCTTTATAAAAATGTCTCATGTCTCCTTTTATAAACTCTTTTATTTTTGTTTTTTCTGCTCAGTGTAAATGATATTGTTTCAGTTCTGATTATGTGCTAATGCTAAGCACCGTACAAGTTCACAGATACAGCTAACCCCTTCTCCAAAGAACTTACAATTTGAAATACAAAAAGAAAAGGAGGACTTGTGGCACCTTAGAGACTAACAAATTTATTTGAGCATGAGCTTTTGAAAAGTCCTCCTTTTCTTTTTGCGGATACAGACTAACACGGCTGCTACTCTGAAACCAGTCTGAAACACAGACACACATAAGACAAACACTGGGAGACCTCGAGAAAGGGATTCATTTTGAATATTTCTCTCATCCCTGCATGCAGTTTTGGGGTAGGGGGGCAGTTAACTGATTTGGGTTGGTGTTTGGGCTTTCAGAAGTGAATCTTTAAGAAGGCTTTTAAAAAGGAGACAGATCCCTCTTGTTTTCATGATCTGGCTGAAACTGTGCTGCTCTATATAAAACTGGAGACCCACAGTACTAGTCTTGATTGCCTAGCTCTAGTTCCAGAGTTGGAAAATAAGGGCTGCTATGTGGCTGCTTGGAAGAGAAAAAGGACTCTGGGGCAGAAAGTCTTAGAGCAAATATTCTGGTGTTGCCAGTGAAAAGGACACAGACCAAAGGCCAGATACTGAAACATTTTCATACTGACGTTGCTGATGCCCCTTACCTGCACAATGTCAATGGGCAAGTCACTTCACCTTTGTGTGCCTCGGTTTCTCTAGCTGTACAATGAGGATAATGATCACATTCCTTTGTAAAGTGCTTTCAGCTCTGAAGAGGAAAAATACTATAGAAAAACTAATTACTACGACTTACTATTAGAAGGACCACTGTATATGAAGCATTTGGGACTGTTTTCAGCCCACACTGCCGTAACCTGTGCTGACCTCTGGTTGTCTTGTTTCCTGGATTTCTCTCCTGCATCCTGCTATTCCTCTTCTCCAATCCCACCTGCATTTCTTGGGCAATCAGCCCAGTTCCCAACGTTCTTAATGAGTCCTGACTGGAGATGCCAACAGTAATACATCTCTGCTGTAGCTGCTCTCACTGCTCAGCCAGGCCCTTTAATATTGATGTCTCTCTGGTGGCAGCAATGAAGATTAACTACCATTTGTTACTTTTAAAAAATAAGCTTTCTAGCTATGTTGAGGCAGAGTGGCATTGTTCCAGATAGCTAAATGACTTATTTTTTCAATATAACAAATGGGCAGTTTATCTTCATTGGTGCCACCACAGAACCATGTCAGTATCAAAGGGCCTGGCCCAGCAGCGGAGAGGTGTTTAGGGCTAGGCCTCAAAGTGCTTGGGGAATTGGGCTGTTTGCCCAAAAAATACGCGTGGAGGAGACCAGAACGAGGAGAGGATAGAGCAATA